GTCTTTAGCAACAATTTTAAACAGTAAACAGATCTACACTTAACCATAGGCACTTGGGGTATGGACCCCCCCCCCCTTTCCATTTTTTTTCTTTTTAAATCTGGGTTCGATTCACCTTTTACCTATTTTTCTATTCTAATATGCACTATTTATTATCAAAAATGCAACTCTTTTGTCTCTACAAGCTGTTTTTAAAAATGCCGTTTTTCACTGATACATATAAAGAGAGAAGGCTTGCAACTCTTTTTAGTCATTCGCCTCACCTCGCTTAAACTTCGCTCGATTATTTATCTAAATCAGAATAAAACATGGTATATGCATACATTAATAATTTTGTTATACATTTCTCTTCCTTTTCATATTTCCAGTTAATTTTATATGCCCCCGATTTGTAAATATTTCGATGAAATCGGGTAAATTTTGTTCATGTGCATCAACCGGGACGGAAGTACCCGGTATTTTCGGGCGTCATCATAATGTGTAATCTTATTCGGAACATTAAATTCGAGAGAGATTAAATCCCGAATTTTCTCTTCATGTAATATGTAACAGTAAGTTCGATATATAACTAGAAAGCTGTAACTAGTAGATTCTGATAGATACAGATTCACTTTTAACACACGATATAATTAACCAAATGTCATAATATTGTTTTTACAAATCCTGGATTTTTTGTAATACAAAACATGTGTAAAATAGAGTTATCGTTCTTTGGTACTTCCGTCCCGGTTGATGCACATGAACAAAATTTACCCGATTTTATTCGAAATATTTACAAATCGGGGGCATATAAAAATTAACTGGAAATATGAAAAGGAAGAGAAATGTATAACAAAATTATTAATGTATGCATATACCATGTTTTATTCTGATTTAGATAAATAATCGAGCGAAGTTTAAGCGAGGTGAGGCGAATGACTAAAAAGAGTTGCAAGCCTTCTCTCTTTATATGTATCAGTGAAAAACGGCATTTTTAAAAACAGCTTGTAGAGACAAAAGAGTTGCATTTTTGATAATATATAGTGCATATAAGAATAGAAAAATAGGTAAAAGGTGAATCGAACCCAGATTTAAAAAGAAAAAAAAAATGGAAAGGGGGGGGGGTCCATACTCTTTATATGTATCAGTGAAAAACGGCATTTTTAAAAACAGCTTGTAGAGACAAAAGAGTTGCATTTTTGATAACATATAGTGCATATTAGAATAGAAAAATAGGAAAAAGGTGACTCGAACCCAGATTTAAAAAGAAAAAAAATGGAAAGGGGGGGGGGGGGTCCATACCCCAAGTGCCTATGCACTTAACAGGCCGTATAATTCTTTTGAATTTCTTGATTTTGTATTTCTAAATTAGCTTTTTAAGGGCATTAGCCCTACCATGGTCGTCGGTCGGTCATCTCCGTAAACTTGGACTGGCCGAGAGCTTTCGGCAAGCCTCGGCTGATTCCCATTCACTCTTCAAACAAGAAAGGGGGAAAGAATAATAACAAATTGTAAAGCCTGCAAGCAATAACTATCAAATTTATTATAATGAAATTAAAGAGACCTTTTTTATTTATTGCTATAAAAAATTTCATATTATCAAGAAATAATTACTGCTGACTTTTTTGTTCGTTTTGTCATTTTGGAAATCTTGGAAAATTGTTAAGTCGTACGAAAAATAGATCATCAGAAAATTATCTCCCTTGCCTTGACCAGCATTTCAACCAATGAAATAATTGAAAATTTTCTCATCATGCAATTTCTACCAATCACAAAAGAGAGGAAGTGGATAGTCCGAAGACTGTAAAAAACTTCAACTATACAATACCGTCTTCCAAGGAAGACGGTAACAAGATAAATTATTGACAAACAAGTTGATGAAACAGGTACATCAGCAGTCATTATCTCAAGTTCTATGTTCGATAAAATGACCTTGTCAGCAAATAGAATGGTTGTAGGATTAGGAAACATGAACGATTCTGGAATTGTGTTTTAGATTTCAAAATCAAGGTACATTTATTGTTTGGAATTTTGGAATCAAATATAGTCAATATGCATATTTTCTAAATTAATTATGTGTGGACGTCGACTTGAAATGTGATCAGATAGAAGCCTGAATACTTGTATGAGTTGGAAGAATATTACTTTGTGTCAATTCATATGTCGGCTAATTTAGGTTTGATATAATTGGTGATTAGGAAACTAGCTCTAGTCATTAAATTATCATGCGTATAGATATGATATTCTTTTTATTAAGTAACTTCCTTGCTGGTTTGTCGCTTGACATCCAACGTTTTTCAAAAATGCTTTTTCTCTTGTAATCAGTTATCTTGTTTCCTACATACTTTTCAGTTAAACCTCACATAAAGTGTAATATAATGCTTACCTCTCTGAAAGGTTGCAAGGTCCAGTTTTGACCTCCGGCTTTCTTTAACTACCTTATTGGCTGCAAAAAAGATAAGTAATAACACAAACTTTTATATTAGTTAAACTGCATAGTATTCCACGATTAATACATGTATAACTATTTGATTTCAATTTCAATTGTCAATTAAAAATGTACCTTTCTGTTCATCCAGTCCCATCTCTGCACTTAATGTTCTCATGGTGTCCTTTGCTATTTTCCTCACTTCTCTAGTCATTGTATCCCTTCCCATTGCTAGACAAGGTAACCAAATTCGGTAAAGAAAGAACAACTATAAGTTGTAATATTATTTTTCTCATTTACTAGTATTCCAAGCTCTCTAAATGGCTCAAACTTGGATCACATGATCAAGTATAAAGCAGAATAAAGACAAGTGAAACTATTTATAGATTCTGAAATGCATATCAACTTGATGTTTCTAAATAATGGGATAATTTTCTGATAGCAAGAGCTAATGCAGTGGATGACTTTATGTTTCTAAAAAACAAAACTTAAACTCCTAAGTATAATTCAGATGTTCTCTAATACAGTAATTGCAAAACGTAGCAGTGCCTTGAATAAGGATCTACTTTACGTAAAAACGTTTCTCAAAAATCAATACAATACATTAAGCAAGAGGTTCAGGGGCCATATCGCTCACCTGAGCAAAATCGGAATTATAGCAGAACTGAAAAGATTACTGAAGGGGGGAGGGGCTTGAATTTTAAGAATACTTGAGTATTCCTTCATATTTTTACAGTGTATGGCTTTGCTGTTCTTGGTAAAAAATAAATTTAAAAAATAATTTTCGTCCTATTTATTACTTCGTAATAATTTACATGTTTCCCCATTGTATCCCTCCCGAACTCGGGGTTTATGATTTGAACAAACTTGAATCTACACAACTGAAGATGCTTCCAAATGAGTTTCATCTTTCCTAGGCCATTGGTTCTTGAAAAGAAGATTTCAAAAAATTCCTATATATTTCTTTGTAAAACTTTGATCGACCATTGTGCCCCACCCTACCCATGGGGGTCATGATTTGAACAAACACTACCTAAGGATGCTTCCACATGATTTTCATTTTTCTTGGTCTAGTGGTTCTTGAGAAAAAAGATTTTTAAAGATTTTTCCTATATATTCCTATGTTAAACTTTGACCGGCCATTTTGGCCCCGCCCTACCCCCAGGGTCATGATTTAAACACACAATCGAATCCACACTTCCAGAGGATGCTTCCACGTGAGTTTCATCTTTCCTGGCCCACTTGTTCTTGAGAAGAAGATTTTTTTTTTTACAAATGCCTTTGATTTTCACTATTTCATAATTATCTCCCCTTGTTTTGAACATATTTAATTGACAATATGTCAATATCTTCCATTAGAAGAGGGTGTGGCCCTTCATTTGGACAAACTTGATTTCACTTCACCTAAGGATACTTTGTGGCAAGTTTGGTTGAAATTGGCACCGTGGTTCTTGAGAAGAAGATTAAAATGTGAAAAGTTTACACCGCCAACAACGACAGACAATGGACAAATTGTGATCAGAAAAGCTCACATGAGCCTTCGGCTCAGGTGAGCTAAATAAGCCCAAATGTGTGTAGTAAATAAAGGATATTACCAAATTATTATTATTGAATTTGATTAAACTAATTTAATTTGAAATAATGAATTCAACAAATTTGTTATAACAGATTAAAATCGTTATAACAAATTCAAAGAAATTGTTAGAATGAATTAAATTCGTAATTATAAAAAATTCGACAATGCGTTATATCAGATTCAAAAATATTTTTCGGTAGGTCCTAAATGGGCTTCCGTACATATGCATTATAATGTGCATTATAATGTGCATTCTTTTGACTTTTACCGGTCACGGTAGCCTAGTGGTAGAGCGTTCGCTTCGTGATCGGGAGGCCCGGGTTCGATTCTCGATCGCGGCGCCGCGTCATACCTAAGACGTAAACAAAGGTAGTGACTGTTCCTTCGCCAAGCGCTCGGCACTAGAAGTGAAAGTCACGGGTAAAAACGTAGGTCCCGTGTCACGGTAGGCGTTGGCACGATAAAGAACCCTCACTGCTCAATGGCCCTTAGTGCCGAGTATAGGTCTAAATTTGAAGCCCTTCACCGGCATCGGTGACGTCTCCATATGAGTTAAAAATTCTCAAGAGGGACGTTAAACAATATACAATCAATCAATCAATCAATCTTTTGACTTTTGTTGAGATTTCTATACACATATCCGAGTTTTCGAACACAAATCCGCCAAGGATCGAATCACGAACGATTTTTGTTACCAGTTTTATGGTGCAGTTTCTTTTTTTTACATATTAAATATATTAAAGGCTAATTTTCGAAATTAAAAATACTGAATTTAAATGTTGATGTGGATAAACAACTAGCTGTAATCTTATATTAATTATGCAAATATGAAACATTTTGGGAATACCAAGTCAGCAAACTGAGAAGATGCTTATTATGTTATGTATACATATTAATTTTTAGACAATATTGAAATGTAAAGGGGGATGAAAGTAATCTCTATCCTAATGATAAGGATCTATAGTTAAAAGCATTATTTATTTAATTGCATTTTCAGAGAGAAAGAGCATGAATTTATCATCTATAATTGCTCTGAAAAACATTCCATCCTAATGATCCCTCCCCACAAGATTTACTAAGCCATACTTTGCAACGGTTCCACCTTGGAACCCTGATAAATATTGATTGGTCTCTAAACGTACTCATCTTGGCTGCTTCTTCTATATTGCTGCTACTCTGTTGAATTACTTTTTCGACTTCTTCTTTCAAACCCAGCAACTGATAGTAATCTGCCTCCTTCAAAATTTTATGTAGATCCTCTTTATTTCTTGGCAGAATATCTGCTGTAATATTTCCATCTCTGAGATAATTCAGAATATAATCAAAATACTTGGGATCTCTATCAAAGAAATGAGCCCCGTCAACCATAACAGGATCATGGCGTCCACTGAAACGGATGGCTAGCATGGAATTTGGATCTCTCATCAGAGTCGTCTGATAGGTTTCAAACATTTTCCCTCCAACCTTTATTTTTATAACTTTATCCTTGAGCCTGAATTTTGAAAAGAGTGCCTTAAAAAAGACAAAACAAAGCATTTAGAATAAAATTAAAGAACATGTTTTTGGTTTCGAAGGTAAAATCATTATTCAAATGTTTATATGTATAATGAATGTTGTATTAACTAGTATTTAAGAGGATGTTTCTCAAGACGGAGTCAAAATGTAACCATAAAACTGGAAAGATCATGCTGTGAAATAATAATAAAAAAAAAAAACAGCAAAATTGTCTACTTTTTTTCATCAAGTCATACATAGGGGTATTACAGTCTTAGTGTTAGCTCTTTCAAAAATTAGACGCATTCCAAACACATATGAATTCAACTAATAGTACAAGAATTGTGGTCCCCCGCTTTTGGTGTCTTTGTGGGTGACATGTCATTTTTTATAACATATTGTGTCAAATATGAACTCCCTATCACGCGTCCTCTAGAAATTATCACCGAATTTTTTTTTTTTAAAAAAATAAGATAATTCGTGAAAGTCAAGGTCAAAAGTTTTGTCCAAGGATAAGTTTTGGAAAGGTACATGTAGGTCAAATTCCACGGTCAAAGGGTGAAAGTTGTTAGTTTGTTAAGAAAGGTCTTGTCACAAGTATTACATATGTGAAGTATGAAAGTTCAAGCCTTTACCGTTCAAAAGTTATAACCAAGGTTAAACATATGTCAAGTTTGATACCCAAGTCCTTACCGTTCAAAAGTAATGGCCAAGGTTAAAACATTATCATAAGTATGAAAATCTCCAAGGTCAAGGTCAAAAGGTCAAAGTTATTGGTATCCAATGACAGGTCTTCCCACAAATAGCACGTATGTGAAATATGAAAGTCGTCGTATCTAAGGTTCAAAATGTATGCCAGAGTAAAAGTTTAAAAGTATACACGCTATAACTTGCCCCAGTTAAAATACGATTGGAAATTGATACAATTTGTTTATCAATAAACATGATAAAAGTTACGAAAATACTGTAAATTACACCATTAAAATTAAACGCGTTACAAAGTTATCAAATTATAATTATTCATTATCCTGCAAGGAAAGAAAAACAGCTATTTTTAAATAAATCTATCACGTGACGCTGTCGCTACTTTTAGATTGATAAACACACGTGGCGTAAAGAAAACAATGTAATCCGTTTGAGATACTACTCAGTTTTGACGTGGATACTTAATGGTACTTTACCTTTTAATGTATTTCAGTATCAACAATCTTCTATGTTATGATGCATATTAACCTTACATTATTAATTGTTGTCAAAATGCAACATACCTCGTTGTCTGTGATTTCCCGTGGACATGTGTTTCTATATATAGGCCTACTGTTTACGCACTTCCTTTATCAATATTCATGAAAAGACTGAATTCTTAATTCCTAGATATTGTTTAATTGTTTTGTTATTACAACGACATCTATAGTACAATTTTGTGGAAAGTGTTATTTTTTATTATACATCATGTGTTTTAAATCATTGATCATTTTGTTTCAAACAAAATTCGGCGTTCATATAGCGTATATGACTTTAAACAAGAGGCCCAGCTAGGGCCACGCGCTTACCTGAGCACACTGGCTAGGAAAAAGCAGATATCGGATAAAAACTGAAAGTTTACTGCGGTTAGAGGAGGGCATATATTTTAATCTCCAGGGGGTTATGATTTGAACAAACTAGAATCTACACTACCTGAGGATGATTCCATATAAATATCACTTATCATGGCTTTGAAGTACTTGATAAGAAGCTTTTAGAAAATTTCCCTACCTAGTCCTATGTTTAACTTTGATCGACCAGTTTGGCCCCACCCTACTAACGGGGTCATGATTTGAACAAACTTGTATCTACACTGCCTAAGGATGATTCCACATGAGTTTCATCTTCTTCTCCACTTCTTGGCACAGTGGCTCTTGAGAAGAAGATTTTAAAAGATTTTATTTTATATATATTCCTATGTAAAACTTTGATCGGCCACTGTGGCCCCACCCTAGCCCTAGGGGTCATGAGTTGAAAAAATCTGAATTTACACTACGTGAGGATAATTCCACATGAGTTTCATTTTTCTTCGCCCAGTGATTCATGAGAAAAAGATTTTTTTTAAATGCCATTAAAATTTTCACTAATTCATAATTATCTCCCCTTGGAAGAGAGCGTGGTCTTTCATTCGAACAAACTTTGACCCCATTCACCCAAGGATAGTTTGGTTGAAATTTGCCCAGTAGTTATTGAGAAGAAGATGCAAATGAGGAAAGTTTACGACGACAACGACGACAAAGGACAAATTTTGATCAGAAAAGCTCACTTGAGCCTTCGGCTCAGGTGAGCTGAAAGGATTATGTTAAAGCGGGTAAAATTTCAAGGTCAAAAGGTCAAATTTGGTGGTACCCGAAGAAAGGTCTTGGTACAAGGAAATACACACGTGAAATATGAAAGTCATAGCTCCACTGAATCAAAAGTTATGGGCAAGGTTAAATTTTTTGTGACGGACGGACAGACGGAGGGACGAATGAGATTTAATGTTCCATCGCTTTCGCGAAAGCGATGGACAAACAAGAAGATGGGTGAACACGACAGAAGAGAAGAGAAAAGTGTGACAAACATGAAGGTGGGAAAAAAAAATCTTTATTATATCAAAATTGTCTTCGTTTTTTCATCTTACATTTAAATATACTCCATAAGTTGCAAAAATCTCTCAAAGATTGAAATTATTTGCCTATGAAATAATATACACACACTAAAGACGGCAAAAAGTGCCATTTTCGACACATTTTTTTTCGA